TTCTGATAAACTTTTAAGTGTGGAAGAATCACAAGATAGTGGCAAACAAAAAATTGAATAGTTATTTAATGCAACTATATTATTGAAAAACATATGTTTGATTCCCTCTCGATTAGTAAACGTTTACTAGTTTACAGTATTAGCACTAATATGATTGGAATAATAATTTCAAATGGTTACAAAAATTTTTATTCATTCACAGTTTTAATTTTCAGGAGTCATCATAGATATTGCAAGAATATGTGACACATTTGTGCACTAGTTTAAAATGTTTTTAATTTTCAAAATGTTTGTTGCGTAAATGAGCACGATCCATCCGTACATATACACATATAGAGAAGCTAACTTCATAGAAATAAAAAAGTTGTCTACAACTTAATAATGATGGTGAATAATTAATTTTCAAATGGTTACAAAAATTTTTATTCATTGATCACAGTTTTAATTTCAGGAGTCATCATAGGATTTGGCAAGAGATATGTGACCACATTTTGTGCCACTAGTGTTAAAATGTTTTTAATTTTTCAAAAAATGTTAATATGTGACACATTTGTGCACTAGTTTAAAATGTTTTTAATTTTCAAAATGTTTGTTGCGTAAATGAGCACGATCCATCCGTACATATACACATATAGAGAAGCTAACTTCATAGAAATAAAAAAGTTGTCTACAACTTATTGAATACTTTGTGCATTTGGCACACCTTTTTCAATGTCAGCAAATAATATTTTACGAATAAAATTTTTAACTTCTTGAGTATTATTTTTTTCTTTTCTTGTATTTTTTGGAACACTATTGAAGGGGAGGTTGCATGATTGGATCATCTATAGAAGCCAGTTGTTCCTCAATGGCAAAGAAGTTATATCTAAAGACACACTAGTATATATGGACACATCTTCTTTAATTGCAGGCGAAATTGCATGGATAATGTTGAGATCAAAGTGTATTAATAGATTCATCTTAATCTTTAGATGATTGAAACAAAGTTGTCAGCTCTTCTTCATTTATACGAGGCTATTTTATGAAAGTTGAGGAGACCCTTTCTTCTTTTAAAAATTGAATGTATCCCTCTTCTCTCTCATGCATGATTGAGCTTCTATAGAAACTTGAATAGGAGTTAATGGTACTTTAGGGATAAATTAGGAAAGAAAAAGGAAAAGATTACAATTAAACTATCTCCTTAATCCTTGTAAAAATTCAATTTTCTCTAGCTAAATACAACAAAGGAGTATATAATAAGAAGTATATCAATAGAAAATGCAATTTAATATGGAATTATGAGAGTGCAAGTTTCGATATACGACCTTCATAATTGAAAGGTTCTTAAATTGTTATTATAACAAAATAATGTAATAGATATTTCGTATAAGATTACGTAATTAAGTTTCACTTTCCTTAAAACCGTCCCAATCCCAATCAAAATTACCATACTTCATGATCCCACGGTCATTTGAGAAAGAAGAGAGGAGAAGAGGAGTTGTGTTGCGGTAAAGAGGAGCATCAATTGAATGACTTAATTTCATATATCATACTTCAGATATACATGTTATCACATTATTGTACTCTAAATCAATTTATGAGATAAACATATATGAATTTCAGTTTAGTGAATGATAAATTAAAATTATCTTCTAATTGGATATAAGAATAACGAGATGGTCCTTTTAAAAATACTTTAAACTTTATTACCTGACATAGCAGGCAACATCAACCATATATTCCAATTTTGCCCAATTTCTCATTTAGCAATATCGAGAGAATTGGAGAAGCAACAACAAATAATACAAACACTTTCTCCAGACCACTCCAACCAGCTACAATCTCCGGTGTGGATATAAGAATAACGAGATGGTCCTTTTAAAAATACTTTAAACTTTATTACCTGACATAGCAGGCAACATCAACCATATATTCCAATTTTGCCCAATTTCTCATTTAGCAATATCGAGAGAATTGGAGAAGCAACAACAAATAATACAAACACTTTCTCCAGACCACTCCAACCAGCTACAATCTCCGGTGACTGAGCTCTAAACTCCAGCGCTAGAGTCTCAGGTCCAGTTGCCCTAAAACCCTAATCAGACTCCTCAAGAATGTTCTCTTTCCAGAAGAAATTGATAGAAGAAAAAGATTATACCCAACATATGATAAATGATGCCTTTCTAGAATGGGTAAAATTTCCTCCATATGTACTTGGTGAAATTGTCCTTGCCATATTTGGATTCTATGATATTTTTTTCCATAAGAACCCACTTTCAATTTTAAAACCTCCACTACCACTTTCCAAGCAAGGTTGATTTTTTCATTTTACAATCATGGACACCAACACCATATTTACTTTTGCTCAATGCCAGCTGTTTCCAAGCAACCCAGCACAATGATTTTTCTCCATCAACGCCTTTACCCCAAAGGAATCGCTTCTGAATGCTTTCAATCCTTTTGATGACCCCCTCTAGTGCCTTGAAAATAGACATATGATAGAGAGGTAGAGAGGAGAACATAAATATTATAAGAGTTATCTTACCTCGCATGGAAAAGAGTCTAGATTTCCCAGAGGAGAGCTTGTTTTCCATTTTTTGAATGATTGACTACAAAGTCTTGATCAATCTTAGGCTACGTCCAATCAAAATACCTAGACACTTAGATGAAAATTTTCTAGATTGACATTTGACATAAGAGGCTTAATAATTGAAATCATTCTCACTGATGTTAATGCTAAATAATGGGCTCTTATGAAAATTATCTTGAGACAAGATAAGAGTTGAAAACATAAAAGAACTCTTGTTGAATCAGAGATTTTGATGTTAATGCTAAATAATGGGCTCTTATGAAAATTATCTTGAGACAAGATAAGAGTTGAAAACATAAAAGAACTCTTGTTGAATCAGAGATTTTGATCCTTATCAACATAATTGAAGAAGATAGAATCATCTGCAAATTGTAGATGAGAGACAGGTATCCGATCAGAACCAATTTGTATTCTAGATAAATAACCTTCAAGATAGAATTTGGAATTAAGAGATTCAAGTCTTTAGCAACTATTTGATTTAAGAGATTCAATTCTTATTGGTTGATTAATTTATTAAAAATTTCTATTGGTTATTGTGTTTTGCTTTAATAATAGTAATAATAATATCTTTAGATTACATATAATAAAAACAGAAAATGGTTGTTTTATATATTTAATCCTGCAACAAGAGAATCTAGAGCATTTGGCTATGGCTTTGATTATACTGAATCCATTGACCATTACAAGGTGATATCCAGGGGTCGCCACAGTTTCGGAAATGCCGGTTCCGGTTCCAAAATGAACGGTTCTGGTTTCAAAAAATATGGCATCGAAATCAAATCAAAAACTGATTGTTTCGGTTACAATTTGGAACCGAACGGTTACAGTTCCTTAACGGATCGAAAACCAAAAGTTTTAATCAGTTCTCCTATCGGTTTTCCGGCGGATTGCATAATTATAAAATAAAAAATTAGGGAACATTTTTTTGTTGAAAATTTAAATATTTATGAAATAATTTTTTAAAAAAAAATTTAAGAAAAAAATTAAACAAAGGTTTGAATATGAAATAATTTTTTTAAAAAAAAATTTTAAGGAAAAAAAATTAAACAAAAGGGGTTTGAAACTTTTTTTTTTTTTTTAAACTGGGGATTAGACACAATAATGTAGGGAGTATTGGACATTCATTTATGAAATAATTTTTTAAAAAAAAATTTAAGAAAAAAATTAAACAAAGGTTTGAACTTTTTTTTTTTTTTTAAATGGGATTAGACAATAATTAGATATTGGACTTCTGGAGAAATTTTTTGACAATAATTTGGACAATTATAAATGGGAGAGCATAGAGAGATTGAAGGGTACATAGCAGCAGAGAGATATAATTTGTGTGAAAATAAATGAAAATAGTTGGTATTTATAGTAAATAAAAAAAATTAAACTTTCCACAAATATCCTTGAAACTAGCTATTAGGATATTTAATTTGCGGATTTCACAAAAACTTTTGGAAAAGTAAACAAGTTCTACTAGAACAGCCGATATGAACCGGTGGAATTGCCGGTTCTAATCGGTTGGAAAAACCACCGATTCTATCCGGTTCCGGCCAATTCTTAGAACTGACGGTTCACGGTTCCTCAAAACTTAGAACCAGAACCGGACCGTAAACCCCCGTTTCGGTTCTGGTTTAGACTGACTATGGTTCCAATTTTCATTAGTTTCGAATCGATGGTTTCGGTTCCGAAAACTGGAAAATGGCCATATGTCTAGTGATATATAGTTGTAACCTTAGAGGAGAAAATTTACAGAACTAAAGAAATATGGAAAGAAAGAGAAAGAACAACAGCTGAATTTTATTGCAGTAAAATGAGCTTTATACAAGAGTTCACAAAAATACTTTTTACTAACTCTCTATCTAGTAATTCTCAATTTACAAGTCAAGTCAAGTTAAACCAAAAAACTAAGTAAAGCTGCCATCAATTGAGTGTTTATATTAATCGTTATGCAGAATCTACTAATTTAGAGCAGTACATAATTTTATATGGGAAAGAATACTACAAAATTTTCCTAACCACTGAAGCACAAGTACACTAGGAAATCACAGATTTAGTTTCTTACTTTAATTTAAAATCCAACTGATGTTAATTCTCCTACCGCGGATCCAATTCTGTAAATGTGATTTCGTTAGTTGAAGTTGATTTGTAATAGCTTGAAGAAGATTCTGCTTCAGGAACATTTCTTTCTGTGAAAAATCCAGGCTGCTTCGGTTGAGGCAATGAACTTTCGCTGGTTCGGTTGAGGCAATGAACTTTCTCCACCCAACATGTAACATTACCGCCAGCAACAGTTGACATGTTAGGTGCTGTCCTGCAGGTCGTTGCTGGGGAGCCGGGGCCAACCATCGTACACAAGGCTAACATGTAAATGCCAGCTTCTTATGATTTCAGAAAAGTCGTACGCCGACTCGGCCCTACAAATGTTATCGCATTAATTTCTAGAAGGCCTTTCTGTTGTCATCCCATAAATCTCCATGCCTGCAAAAACATTTCAAGTAGCAACTCAATTACATATTTGTGAGAAAGAACAGTAAAAAGAATTTTCAGTTTTGTACTTACGTGTCCTACAAGGTTGTGAAGATGATCATGGCTATGAAACCCTCTATTTTTCCTTCCACTTACTATCTCTAACACTAACACTCCAAAGCTAAAGATATCAGATTTAACAGAGAAGAGCCCATCAACAGCATATTCAGGAGCCATATACCCACTGAAAAATAAAGTATTGCAAAGATTAAATGGATATGTTCATAAACAGAATTAATCAACAGATTTGGCTGCACTTACAATGTTCCCACAACTCGGTTTGTATTAGCCTCAGTTTGATCTCCTCCAAATATTCTTGCCATACCAAAATCTGAAATTTTTGGGTTCATATCTGTATTCCTTGCTCATACGGCAAAATCTGAAAAAATTTTTTTGGTTCATATCTTTATTCCACAGAACATTAACTTCGGACTTTTTAGATCTCTATGGATTAATCCTGAGGTCTATCCGAGTCTTGATGAAGAGTACAAAAGCCTCTAGCAATTCCATCAATAATGTTGATTGTCGCCTTATTTCAAGAATCATTAGAAAGCTTGCCTTCTTGATTGAATCGTGGATCCAGGAATTTATTTCTAAAAATGATTTTAGGTGTTTGGGGACTAAAACCTGAAAGTTCAACCTTCTCAATAGAAAGTTTTTGGGATAAGAACCAACCCCAAAATGAAAAAAATCCAAGCTTTTATTTGGGCATTGTACTGCATAAATTCGAGGGCTATCGTTCTTTCAATTGCTTCCTTCAATGCCAACAACCGAGAAGCTTTACAAGATTGGCCGATGCTGGCACTGCCTTTGCAATAAAACAAGCTTCGTTTTTTGACTCTTCTAGTTTCCTTGGAAAAGACTCCAATTGCAGGCCTCCTTCACTGCAATTATGCCCTGGCGCCATCAAAATAAATGTGCCTGAAAATTTTCATGTCAAGATCATCAAAAAATATTCCTTTAATAACAATATACCTTTTTGGGACACATACCTAATGTAGAAAAAGCGTATATCTTACATTGGCTCACGACAGGTCCAACAAGCCACGTTGTCCTAAGCTTGTTTGGTGTGCTCCGAAGAAAGTTGTCTGTTGCCATTCATTATGGTGGATTTAAACTTCAATTATAGGTGTAACAGGTCAAAGTGCCTTCAGTTTTGCTTATTTTGGTTTGTGATCCTCTATCAATTATGGCTTCTTCATCGCCTCTCTGACAATAGTTGAAAAGTTTGATTGAACCGCAAAACTCACCCCATTAGGAAAAAAAAAAAAAAAAAAAAAAAAAATTAAACAAAGCGTTTCATTTTGCTGCATTTATCATTAGCAGCATAGAATCCACCATTAAATGCAAATTAGCTTACCTTGGATTTTAAGTTTCCTTTTCCTTACATACAGGATCCATCCCAGAGCAAGCACTCCCATGCCTAATATTGTACTGCAAACAATGATCCCTATTCGCTTCTGCCTTCTTGATTCTCTCCTTCTCTTGATACCATCTAATTAAATATAAAAGCAGAGTTAGTGCCCAAAAATTGGAAAGAGATCAATTAGCAGAAATGCACAATCACAAGTCACAAATTTCAACTGCAACATGTTAAAACCTAAACTGCATAATCTACTAAATGCCTCAGCATTGCATATTCTTAGTAGAAAACATCTACTAAAAAGTGCCTCAGCCTTGGCAGTCATTGTCTTGGAGTGCGAAAACATCGAATCTTAAATCAAGGAACCATTACCCTTACCTAACATATGGAGCAGACATTCCTTACATGAGAGGTCTTGCCCTGTATTCAGTAAACTCTCTAAGGTCAAGTGCAAGTCACTAACCAAAGCGGCCAGCAACCATTTTCCAGCCTCCCCAGTGATTACGTCAAGTTAATTTGCATTGATGGCAACAACAAGAACACAATTCCCTTCAAACACACATTTCTTCAACAATTCCTGTTAGAGCTCATCACGCTTATTCAAACCCATGAGCCAGATGTGGGTTCAGGGGCAGTGCTTCTTTCACTGGTAAGTTGTTTTCACAAATCGCTTCCTCCCTTCTTGGTTACAGAGCCAAAGCAATCTTCTTGACACCGGCACTTTGACGCAATCTTGAAAAACTCCAAATCTCTAATACCAGATTTAAGGCTTGCCAAACGCCCTTCTAAACACAAGCCATGCACATAGGTGACTTATTAAATATTGGCATAGTGGCATTTTGCAACACAAGAATTATAATTATCACATTGGATCTTTGCAAACCACTTGTGCAAATTAACGGTAGCGCCAACTATTGTGTTTCTTTTGATCTAATCCATGTCAAACGCTCGGTAATACCTGAGGCATTCACTACAAGCCTTGACACTTACTGAATTGTTTTTCAAAAAGATGAAATATTGTTAATATACTTCTCTTTTCGTTTTAATACAAAATTCATAACTCGATAATAGTAGCTGGATTTGGTCTAAGCTAAGAAGCTCCTTGTAAACCGCTAATTTTCCATTCCAAGGACCCCAGCTCTAAATTTATTGGTATTTCCCCTTTTTTTAATAAAAGTAAATTGAGGGGATACGCGCATTTGATGCTATAGGCCAAAGTAATAATCTCCTCTAGCTGGATCATTTGAAATGCCTTTTTCCAGAATGAAATATAGTCCAAATCCTAGACCAGTAACGAGTTTTGCCTTCCAAGTTTCAATGCCTGGTAAATTTAAGTATCAAACCTGGAAATCACAAGCTTTTGCCATAAATAATTTTTCTGGGTTTTGGTTCATTTCCAATTTTTACTGAACGAAATTTTCCACCGAATCTAAAAGCTGAGCAATTTGGGTTTTTTCACTGTACTGGTTTTGTTTTGATGACCAAATTGAAAACACCAATTTTGAGGCTATTCAGTAAAGAAGAAGAATACGACTTGAGTAGGTGAAATTTATAGAACTCTTTGTCATCAAGGAAGTTTGGGGTTTTTCGGGTTTCTCTATTTGCAACCCAAACAACAGTTCCTGTAGAGATTTTCTTGAACCAAATGCCTAAATATCGTCCAGATGAACTACCTGGAGTAAAGAAACCAAGCTCATAAGTTTGCCCACTTGAAATTATTGTTTCTCCATCTTTAATGGCCTGACCTGGACTAATGCTATCTACTGCATTGGAAGTTCTGATGCTGCAGAAGAGAAGACAAAAGTAGAGAAAGAACGTTCTAAAGCAATCCATTGACGCTAGAAACCAAACTTGACCAATTGTTATATTATATATACAAAAGTAAAATCAGCCAAAACTGGTCTGACATAATAGAAAGAACATTTGAAAGACTTTGTGTTGACGCGAATGTTGGATTTTGGACAAAGTTTAATATGTTCGTCACATATAGAGCCAAAGCTGTTGAGCAAGAGGATGATCCCAAGGACGCAGAAGCTACTGGTCGTTATTAGCGTTAGAAAAAATAGATATACGAATGTTGGATTTTGGACAAAGTTTAATATGTTCGTCACATATAGAGCCAAAGCTGTTGAGCAAGAGGATGATCCCAAGGACGCAGAAGCTACTGGTCGTTATTAGCGTTAGAAAAAATAGATATACCACGTGAAAACTAAGATATTTTTTTAGGTTTCTCTCTCTAGTTCTGCTGATTGATTAGGAAACAAGTTAAAAATTAAAAGTGATTTCAGTAATAATTAGTCCATAATATTTGGATGAGCATTGACTCTCGCTGTCGTGCTTTGCAGGGTGAATAGGTCAGTTCGTCCGTGTCTTCTTTTTTTGAATAAAATTGAACCAGAAAAAATTCCATTTTTTTTTATAAAGCCAAAACCAAATTGTATATCTTAAAATTGAAACGAAATAGCATCTCTCTTTATTTTATAATATCTCGGTTTCTCACGTGTTTAGAGAAGTGAATTTTAGTGCTGAATAATTTGCAGGATTCGCTGTTTCTAATGAAATGAATCTTCAGATTTTTATCCTCTCAACAGAATTTTTTCATGACTTCTTCTTAAGATAGAGCAGCTCATTGTATATGAGTTAACCCTTAATTATTTTTTTTTTCTCCTTTTATGTACCAAAAACAATGAAACCAAATAATTCGATCGGTCTAACCAAAATACACCAACTCTAGTTGAACCTGGCATTTATATTTTGGTATTGTCATTTATACTTTATGGTGACATGCTTTTTGACTTTCTTTGTATTTTTATTTAATATTCTCAACAAGGATTTCATATGTCTCACTTCAAATGGCCAACGATAAAAAAAAATGGCAATGGAAGTCTATTTTTCCTCAAGTAATGTTATGCTCTTTTTTCTTTAAAAAAAAAGAAATTAAAAAATAACATGTATTGAAGTTGTTTACTATATAGTTGAACATTTTTCCATGAGTGGTTTCTGTTGGACCACTTGTTAATACTTATTTTTACAATTTGTCATATCAAAATCAAATTTAAAATATTCATTCCAAAAGAAATCAAATTTAGAATATAACAGTGAGATTGTTTTTCAATCATTCCCATGAATTTCCCACCAAATACCAAACTCCAACATGAGCCTACCTCTTGGATTTTAGAAAACTGGAAGTCCAAAAGAATCTCATATTTCATCCTATGTATATATTGTTAGGCATCAGCTCTGATACCACTTGTTAGGAATCAGCTCTGATACCACTCGTTGGGCCCTTTCAACCGATTAAGAGAAAATTAACGCAGCGGAATCACCATTAAGAGAAAAATTAACGCCAGGGCGGAAATAAATAAAACTTGTGGACACAGAGATAGGTTTTACGGGTGGTTCACCCTCAACTTTGTTTAGGGCTACGTCCACGGGACAAATCCGAAATCATTCTTCCAGCTATTAACAAATAAGTAAGGTACACCAGAGGAGAATATGAATAATAGTGGGCACTTCACAGTGTTTCCCAAAAACACTCCAAATAAATTTCCTCAGCTATTTTGCCTCACTATTTTTCTCACCCCTAATTTTAGGAAACTCATCCTAAAACTAGAAAACTCTCTCGCTACATTTTTTCTCTTCTTTCTTCTGTGTATATTGTGTGCTCTGCCTCTGCCTCTATTTATAGGCAGGTTAACGCGTTTAATGAGCCGTATACAACTTAATCAAGTCACCGCCTATGTACACCAATTCAAAGCCATCACTGTTGAACTGGCTGCTCCTATTTCTTTTTTACTTTCACACATAACACGTTTTGCAGCCAACTTTACTTCCTTCGTTGTTAACTTTAGTTCGTGGGTCCCACTTGAGTGGGCACACAACCACAAGACTTGAGTGGGCACACCAACCACACAAATCTTCCCCGCCTGGCACACGTCAAGTGAGGACCCGTTTAGCCCATGCAATCTCCTGCCAGCTATAATCTATTAGA